GTAAAAAAAAACAAAAACCAAAAAAAAACCTTTTTAATTAAAAAAGACGATTGCGGTGTGTCTGGGCGGCTCAGTCAGTTAAGCCTCTGACTCTTGATTTCAGTTCAGGTCATGATCCCAGAGTCATGGGATCAAACCCTGCATCAAGCTCTGTGCTGATTGTGGAGCCTGCTTAAGATTCTCTCCCCCAACCCCCCGCCCCTCTCCCCTGCTCACATGCGTGTGCACTCTGAATAAATTTAAAAAGATTGTACCTATAGCTGACAATGTATTATATGCTTAGAAATCTGTTAAGAGCATAGATCTCTTGTTAAGTGTTCTTTCCAATTAAAAAAAAAAAAAATCTAAGAGCTCCCCTGATGAACAGATAGGGTAGTAGGAAATCTTCAGCACACCTTTTCTGTAGAACTAATAAAAGAATAGCCAAGAGTCAAGAATCCCTTCCCCTGCAGAAATGCTACAAAGAAAAGACACCAAAACGTGGGAGAAGCTTAGCGATCATAGACCAGCTCTACCAGGTTGATAGTCCTTTACTTTGCCCACATTCTATAGCCATTTCAGGAAATAGTAAAGCATTCTAGTTAAGAAACAAGCTAACTTGGTTTTGGATTCTGGATTTGCTACTTACTAGCTGAGTATCTAGTGACTGGCAAAACTGTATAATCCTGTGTGTGCTTCAGTTTCCTCATCTGAAAAAAAGGATTTTAATAGCACCAACTTTGTACGATTGTTGTGAGGACTGAATGAGATAACGTATTCAAAGACACAGAACACTACCTGAGACAGAGCAAGTACTTAATAAATCTAAGTTATGATTTTGTCTGTAGGAGCCGGAGTTTACTAAAGGAGGAAGACCCTGCCGTCCTAATCTCTGAGGTCCTAAGGAGGAAGTTTGCCCTGAAGGAAGAAGATATTAGTAGAAAGGGAAACTGACAGAACTCAGCTCTGCAAATTCAGTCTCATGCTCCTGGAATTCCTTCAATAGCTGCCTTCCTCACCACAGACCTTTCTGCCTCACAGTTAGAAATCTTTTTGCAAAGGTCTTGCGGAAATCTAGAGCTTGGACTGAAAGAGAAAAGTTGGATTATGCTTCCTTTGCTTCGAACCTTAGCAGAAGCTAAGGCATGTTTTGCACTGAGACACTTGTTACAGGTAAATGCATAGGTTGGAATGTCTCAGTCTAAAGGATGAGATAGAAGTTTGGCTTTTCCTGCCTCTGTGTGAAAATCAGTTCTAAGTGAATGGCTTATTACTTCACTGCATTAGACCCCATAACTGGTCTCACCGGACACTTTGTGCCCAGCTATCACTCTCAGCGGCTTCCTTGTAGCAGAGCAGGGCTGAGGGGAGGGGGGCTGTATTTGTATGTGTTGACAGGGCAAGGAAAATCTTATGCTGCTCCATCATAAATGGACACCAGTGCCCAGCAACCCCCCTCTCCTCCTTCCCAGTCCAATACCTAGATATAGAGGGTCACACCTCTGGACCAGCTGACACTTGGGCTGCTGCTGGGAAGCCTGGGCTGCTTTTTTCTTAAATATATTTTGTAATACTCTACAACCAGATCTACCCTCCCAGGCCCTGGGCCCTCACGGGTTCCACTGATTGAAAATGCTTTCTCTTCCGTGGACTTTAGTTTAAGCCTAGTACGAAAGAGAAATGGGGAGGAGAGAAGAGTACCATCCTTCTTCTAGGCCCTTGACTGCTCCTTTGCGTTGGGCCAAGGTTTGTACCTACCACACCATGCATGACTCAGACGCCCTCGGGTCCCTTTCTCTACGGTATGTATCCTGTGTGTGTGTGGGTTGAAGCACTACCTGACATTAAATGAAGGATATGGAGAGATACTGCACCTGCTCTTTGTCTCTGGGTTGTGACCCCTTGCATCCCCCATGGGTATAGGATTCCTGTTAATTTTAAGGTATGTGAAGTTTCGTAAAAAGAGGCTTCCCCTCTTTTCTTATAAAGTCCTGCCTATATAAAAACAAAAAAACACTTCTGTAGGGAGCCTCTTGTCCCCTTCTGTAGGGATTTTACCCAAACTCTTAAAGTAGTTCCATCTTACAGCTTGCACACTTGCTCCCTAGGGGCTGTTTGAGCCTCTTTTAAGGTAGCGTACCTGCAACATGGGAAACTGCCACCTGGTGGATAACATCTCGGCTAGAACACAGGTGTTCAGGTGAGACCCTGGCAGTGACAGAGCATATATTATTAAAAAGTTGCTTTTCCAGAAATAAAGCGGTAATGTTTTAATTACCATCAGAGTCAGCTTATAGAGTCATTTATTTGGATTCGTAGTTTTACAAAGGGAGTTCCCTCATACCTTGTAGAAGAGTGGTATCACATCCAGATTGTTATATAGCTCAGGCTATTTTAAGGGAGATGTTTAAACACAGAAGAAGTCTTTAAAATGCTGTAAAATCCCCACAAAAATAAGTAGAAAGCAGAATGATGGTGGTTTTTTTTAAATCTCTCTATCCTCTCTGACCCCATACATCTGGGCCCAGGAGATTTGCCTTATCACCTCAAAAAGGTGTCAGGAATAACGGTCCCATGGTTGAGTGGGTAAGCTAACAGCCAGAGATTAGAAGAACACCCATCCGTAAGAAGCGCTGTTCCAGTCAGGCATCTGAAAGGGCACAGAGGTGGCTCTGCAGGCTGAGTGGGGACTCTTTAGTGGAGGGATGAGTACCTGCCCTGCCTCCTCATTGCTCATCAGAGACTCGCACAAGTTTACCAGCCACCTCTTCCTCAGGGAAAGGCACCATCATACCCCCTCAACAAGTGGCCCCATTGCTTTATTTACACCAAGAAAATGCTCAATTATAACGTCATCCCTTGCCTCCCTCCCACCCACACTCCCAACCCCCCCACCCCAATATTTTCCTACAGCTCTGCCATTTCGAGGTACTTTTAGAACAAAACCGTCATAAAGACATTTAGACTTGATGCCTGATAACCTGATTACCTTCTGAGTCCTGGGTAAAGAGCAAATCAGGCTGCAGATTTAACTGAGTGGGCGTCTCCTGGCACTGAGCCCAACGGCTGCTAGAAAACTGCCCTAAGCCCCGATTCTGGTTGTTGGTTACATCTTGGAAAGGAGCTCTAGAGTTGTGGGCAATGACTCGCTGGCCCTGAGAATCCTCAGTAAAAAGCTGACTCCAAGAGTCCTTGTCATTCTTTTCACTGTCCCAAGAAAATAGAGGGATAGGACAAGGGCTTTGTTTCACTGAGTGTGTGTTTTCCCCATTCCAGGAATCCCTGTATGTTTGAAGGAGGATCGGGGTCTGTCTGGTTTCTTTTGCAGACACCTTTTCTAATGGCGTCTTGTCCAAGGGCTCATGGCCCTTGCCCCGAGGTGGTTTAATGGGTCTCTCCACACCCTGATAGTTCTTTTTCTTAGATCCATGAAGCCATTCCCTTTTCCAGGAAGAGTCTTTCTCTTCCTCCTTTTGGTCCAGTGAGCGAGAACCTTCCAAGTTCTTGGTGAAGGAACAAGATGGAGAGGCTTTACTCTTTCCAGCACAGACTAAGGTGTCAGGCTGGAGCAAAGACAGCACAGTCAAAAATGGTGTTCCCATTCTGTGGTGGCCAGAATCCTGGAGGGGCTGTGGAGAAAGTCCGGCTTCCTGGGTGTCTGCAGGGGTTGAAGTGGCTAATGGGGGTGCCATGCAATCATCCCCTAAGCCCTGGATCAAATGGTCTAGCTGGGTTACATCATTCTTAGACTCTTTGTTGGTCTGACTTTCTATAGGAGATGAAACATTCCTCTGGTCACCACCAATTGTCCTTCCTAGTAAGACAGACATGAGCAAATATTACTCTGCAGGAAAACTCTGCCCTGAGCAGGATTTAGCTGGTTTTTTTTTAAATCAGTATCAGCTACTACCACTACCTAGTGCAGGGGTCTCAGACTTGTCACACACCTTTATAGCTGGTCTTCCTGCTTTTAATCTCTACTTTCTCCAAAATGATTTTTCTAAAACACGGTCCTCATATTATGCTGCTCAAATATATGGATGCTTCCAGTGATCTGCCTAACAGAGTCAAACATGCTAGCTATGCTCAGATCACACAGCCTACTTTTCTGGCTGCGTTTTCATATGTGGGGTTTGTCTAACAGGGCACGTCAACTTTGCTTTTGTTTTTTATTTAACATGGTTTCTCCTAAACAGTGATTTTGGCTAAATATATCGTCCTTTGAGAAGTATGTGAAACAGTTTTCACTGGTGACAACTGCACTGGTGACAGTGCAAAGAACATTAAATGCCCCACTCTGCAAACATTTCATGGGAAAGGGAGTAAAGACCATCAGGATGCTAAGTCAACCAGTAGGAAGGACAATAAAAAGAAACTGCTAATGTTCAGCCTGTCCCTTTGATCAGGCATGGAATGGATCCTGTTCTGCCTTGATGAATTACATGGAATCCTCCCGCCCATTATACCAAGATCTAATTACAAACAAAGCTGAATGATTTCCTCTTCCTCCAACAGGAATCATAGGGCAGAAACCATGTTTTGTGAAAGATTTCTCAACGTTGCCTAAGAATTCAATAGATTATAGAACATGCCAGAATTTTGAAATAGGAGGCATTCTTGAAGAAAATCAGCCCTTGTTACTTAAAGCAAAAAGTTGCTTATTTTAAGTTCTTGTTTGGGGCAGGAAGAGTGAATTTAAGATTTATGCAGTGCAATCCTGGGAATCAAAAGAGTTCAAGCTCTCCCAGCACCCTTCATCCGGCAGACACCCTGCTCTGTAAGCCCCAGCCTGCTCTGAGGTAGCATATCCTCTGAAAAGGGACACGTAAGCAAAGAACTACCAAAGGATGATGAGACACAAGCAACTTTATGCCAACCTTTCTAACAAAAACACATCTTTGACTAATTTGAGAAGCTTTATACAGAAACACCTACTATTAAATAATCTTAGACTGTTCACTGTGGCCAATCCAAGACCTAACTAATGGCAGGTCAGCTCCCGTGCACACCCCAACTCCCAAAGTATACCTTTCTCCCCACCGCTCTGTCAGGAAGTACAAATATTTAATATTAGACTGAGTGAACCAGAAAGAAAATGTTTGTAAAAGCACGTATATATTGCTTTGCAGAAGGGGAGGTTTTGTTGTGTTTTATAACACAACCTCTTCTAATAAGTCACTAAGTTTAACACAAAGCACTAGTGTCACCACTTCTCATAAACGTTGCAGCAGAGGAGAGTGCACGCATTCCTTTCTGCTCCCTGGGTATTCCCAGGCGGGTCACCATACCTGGCTGCAAGGTGAAGAAGGAAGCGATGCTGGTCTGCCGAATGCCTGCAGGTGCAATTCTTTGAGTAAAGGAAATCTTAGCCTTTTTTTCTCCAGGAAAAAGTGTTAGCATTTTGGTGTTTGGCTTCATTACATGTGTCTGAGAAGGGGGAGAAAAAGAACAATAAAACCTATTAATATCAAAACAGGTGCCAGATGGGAGAGATTCAACAAACACCAGTGATCCTCACAGAACCCTACTGGACCCTTTGGACTCCACCCTATCCTAGTCTCTGGGTAGTTTTTGCTGTGTACATCATCATCTACCATTTCCTGCCATACTGATGGTATTTTTCTCAGCAAATCACATATTCCAACTATAGCCCAATCTTTCTGCTTCCCCACGGAAATCAGGCTGACTAAACAGGATTTGTTGAAGTGATTTCAGGGATGACACTCTCTCTTATATTTAAAGATAATGATTCTACATTAGCAGCAGTGGACACATACCTAGTGGTTTTCAAATAGCCACATATGGTTAAGAGCATGGCTCCACAGTCACACAGCTTGGGTTCAAATCAATCCCAATTCTGCCACCGCTACTTATTAACTGTGTGATGTTCTGCAAGTTGTTTAATCTAGGTCTCATTCTCATGTGTGAAATGGGGACAGTAAAGTACCTATCCCATAGGGCTGTTATGAGGATTTGGTGAGTCAATTCACATAAAAGGCTTACACACAGTTCCTGGGATTCATACTAGTTGGTTATTACTAGAAGGAAAAGCAATGAAACAGCTAGTCTTACACACTTTCAGCCCCTTTATACTTTACAGTATGAATTAGAAGATGTACCATAGAGATTTGGGAAGTTTTGTCAACTAACTATAAATCTAACCTCATCTTTATTTAGTGTGATTTGGTTTTGTTTCGACTTGCTGGTTAAGAAATGCCTGAGAAGTAACCTGAGAACGGGGCTATACTCAATTCAGTTTGGTGTGAAAACCAAAGAAGAAATGGCATTTGCCAACATTCATGCTACAAATTGGAGATAGGTCTGAAACTTGAACCCAAATTATTAATTCTAGCCAAAGCTGACTTCATTTTTACATTTGGAAACTAAAATGTACTTTAACTGGTGAAAAAAGAAGGAACTCCTTGATATAAAACTCATACTTTGACTTGCAGTACTGGCTTGGAACTTTCCCTTCCACTACACAAAACTAGAAAACTGGATAAGATACATAACACAACTGATTTTAGACGGTGGACAACAGATATTGCATTGGATTGTGAGCCCTGAGAGAAGAAAAACAAATGAGGTGAGCCCTATGATGACCCTAGCTTTCTTCCTGGAATCACCTGTCGATTAATTAAATATATGGAGACTGGAATTTGGAGAAACTGAGGTGGCCACTCCTCCTCTTACGTTGTGAAGTCCCCCACCTTGAACTTCGGAAGAATTTTGTGACTGACCAATAAAGTATGATAGAAATAACACTACATGGTTACAAAACTAGGTCATAAAAATGTCATGCACTTCTGTCTTGCTTTCCTGAAATGCTCACTCTTGGAACCTGGCCGCCATGCTATGAGGAAGCCCAAGTAGGCACATCACTCTCTAAATGTTATGAGACACATCCTAGATATGGGAAATAGTGAGATAGAATGCAAACAAGTATTTTAGCACCTATATGCTAGGGACTGGGAATATAATGATGCACAAAAATATACAGACTGTTTCTGCCCTGGTAAAGCTTACAGCTTATGGGGGAAAAAAAGACTAATAATATACAGTTATTTAAATGACTTACAAGAATGCCAAGTCCTGCATACACCATAGAAATACAAAGGATTGTAAGAATATTATGAAAAATTATATGCCAACATATCAGACAACCTAGAAGAAATGGATAAATTCCTAGAAACCTATAACCTCCCAAAACTGAATCAGGAAGCAGAAAATTTGAACAGATGGATTACCGCAATGAATTGAATCAGTAATCAAAAAACTCCCAACAAACAAAAGTCCAGGACCAGACAGCTTCACAGGTGAATTCTACCAAACACTTAAAGGAGAGTTAATACCTATTCTTCTCAAATGATTCCCAAAAATTGAAGAGGAAGGAAAACTTCCAAATTCATTCTATGAAGCCAGCATTATCCTGTTATCAAAACCAGATAAAGGCACTACTACAAAAGGAGACAACTATAGGCCAATATCTCTGATAAACACAGATGCATAAATCCTCAACAAAATATTAGCAAACCAAATCCAACAATACACTTAAAAAAAATCATTCACCACAATCAAGTGGGATTTATTCCTGGGATACAGGGTGGTTCAATATTCACAAATCAATCAATATGATATATATCACATCAATAAGAAAAAGGATAAAAACGATATGATCATTTCGATGGGGTGCCTGGGTGGCTTAGTGGGTTAAGTGTCCGACTCTTGATTTCAGCTCAGGTCACGATCTTGTGGTTCGTGAGTTTTGAGCCTGCATTGGACTCTGTGCTGATGGTGCAGTCTGCTTGGGATTCTCTCTCTCCCTCTCTCTCTTCCCCTCCCCTGCTCATGCTGTCTCTCTGTTTCTCTCAAAATAAACTTTAAAACAAAATGATTTCAATATATGCAGAAAAAGCATTTGACAAAGTACCACATGTATTCATTATAAAAACTCTCAACAAGGTAGGTTTAGAGAAAACATACCTCAACATGATAAAGACCATATGAAAAACCCACAGCTAACATCATGCTCAATGGTGAAAGTTTAAACTGACAGCTTTTCCCCTAAGATCAGGAACAAGACAAGTGTCCACTCTTACCACTTTTATTCAACATAGTATTGGAAGTCCTAGCTTCAAAAATCAGACAAAAAAAAAAAAAGAATAAATGGCATCCAAATTGGTAAAGAAGAAATAAAACTTTCACTATTGGCAGGTGACATGATACTATATATAGAAAACCCTAAGGACCCCACCAAAAAAACCACTACAACTGATGAATGATTTCAGTAAGGTTACGGGATACAAAATCAATGTACAGGATGCAAAATCAATGTGCAAAATCCGTTGCATTTCTACACACTAATAATGAAGCAGCAGAAAGAGAAATTAAGAAAACAATCCCATTTACAACTGCACCAAAAATAATAAAATACCTAAGAATAAACAACCAAGGAGGCGAAAGACCTGTACTCTCAAAACTATAAAACACTGATGGGGGCACATGTGTGGCTCAGTTGGTTAAGGTTAAGCATCTGACTCTGGGTTTCAACTCAGGTCATGATCTTATGATTCGTGAGTTCAAGCCCCCTGTCAGGCTCTGTGCTGACAGTGCAGAGGCTGCTTGGGATTCTCTCTCTCTCTCCCTCTCTCTCTGCCCTTGCCCTGCTCATGCTCTCTCTAAAGAAATAAATAAACGTAAACAAAACAAAACAAAAAAACAACACTGATGAAATAAATTAAAGATGACACAAACAAATGAAAAAAATATTCCATGCTCATAGATTAGAGGGACAAATATTGATAAAATGTCCATACTACCCAAAGCAATCTAAATATTTAACGCAATTCCTATCAAAATACCAACAATATTTTTCCACAGAACTAAAACAAACAATCCTAAAATTTGTACAGAACCACAAAAGACCCTGAATACCCAAAGCAATCTTGAAAAAGAAAAACAGAGCTGGAGGTATCACAGTTCCAGATTTCAAGTTATATACAAAGCTGCAGTAATCAAAACAGCATGGTAAGGGCACAAAAATAGACACACAGATCAACAGAATGAAATAGAAAGCCCAGAAATAAATCCACAATTATATAGTCAATTAATCTTCAACAAAGGAGGCAAGAACATGCAATAGGAAAAAGTCTCTTTAACAAATGGTGTTAAGAAAACTGGACAGCTACATGCAAAAGAATGAAAATGAGGGGTGCCTGGTGGCTCAGTCGAAGTGTCTGACTTCAGCTCAGGCCATGATCTCACAGTTTGTGAGTTTGAGCCCCGCATCAGGCTTCATGCTGACAGTGCAGGGCCTGCTTGGGATTCTCTCTCTCCCTTTCTCTCTCTCTCTCTCTGCCCTTCCCCTACTCATGCTCTGTCAAAATAAATAAATAAACTTAAAAAAAAAAAGAAAAAGAAAATGGACCACTTTATTACACCCTACACAAAAATAAACTAAAAATGGATTGGATTAAGGATCTAAATGTGAGGCCTGAAACCATAAAAATCCTAGAAGAGATCACAGGCAATAATTTCTCTGATAGCAGCTGTAATATTTTTCTAGATGTCTCCTGAGGCAAGGGAAACAAAAGCAGAGCAAAAATAAACTATGGGGATGACATCCAAATAAAAAGCTTCTGCACAGCAAAGGAAACTATCAACAAAACTAAAAGACAACCTACCAAAGGGGAGAAGGTATTTGTAAATGATATATACAATAAAGGGTTAATATCCAAAGTATATAAAGTACTTATATGACTCAACACCAAAAAAAAAAACAAAACAAACAAAC